AAGACATGCAATTAGTTGAAGCACAGTAAATGTTTGTTGTAATTTATTCGGGGATTTCTTCTAATTGGCTTGTCTGACCAAATAAAGTTCACTCTGAATGAAAGAATAACTTGCTTTATTAGAAATAATATCTTATACATATTTATTCTTTATAGCAACTAATAAAAAACTAGTGAATATATCACTCTTTATAAGAAACGTATTATCCTTACCAATAAGAATGTTATTGTCAGTGAGTGTTATTCTGGTGTTTAATGAATTATGCGTTAATAGTATTTTGGTGAGTTAATGTTTAATTAGGCGGACGAAGGAGAAATTTTCTTACCATATTTTTTTCAGTTTCTGTAGTTTTTCATTACTTTGATGTTTGATTTTCAAGTACTGATACTTAATGTTTGATTCTAACCTTGTCGTGCACAGTACAATTACTGTAATAAATATGCTATTTTTTCAAAAGTTCAAGAAATATATGGGACACATTCCAAAAAGGTTCAACATAGTTCAAGTTCTTAATAAGTTATCGGGATGAGATTATAATAAATATTTATTACAGAAACATTGTACTTAATTGGATGGTTGGGACAGACAGTGGTAATCCTCTGAAAATTTGAGCATAAATGCAATACATCGAAATATTTCTGATAACAATATTGTACGAGATATTTAATGAGATAGGCGAGACAAATTACGAATTGTTACACACATTTCTAATCAATCACCTACTTTTATCACACCTAAGAAATACTTGAAGAAGAATATAGATAACCGAAGTTGCGTTTGATATAATTTATTGCTCATATGTAAAACAGAAGTTCATTGCAATTTATCAACGGGAACAAACATTATTAAGAGAGGTAACATTGTCACCATTAAAAAAAACGACAACAAATGTGAAGATGAATTTTGTTTTTCACCAAGCGCAGAATGTATAGCAAGACCTTATTGGAATAATGTATCTGTGACGATACTGTTATTGAATAGGACCATACATCTGATGAATACTACACCTTAGACCTCTTACATTTTGCTGGGGTGGTTTGTTTAAGTGCAGTTATAAAATTAGATCTCAAAATACGAACATGATTATTATAGAGGTTACATTAAGACTCGGGTTTTAAAAAATTTTGTATGCAAATATACAGACAATACTGTGTTCAGGACCATGTATAAAATAAATGTCAAGGTTATTGCAGAAAGCGTAGAGAAGCGAAACAACAATTATTGTTGTTTGAATGTTAAACATAAAGGAATCGTTCAACATTGTTTTCAACTTTATAACAATGGCGAACAGAGTTTTGTTTCAGAAGATAAAGGATACAATTGTATGTATAGCTACGAGCGATACAATGAGTATTGTTTGGATCTGGAACATGGCATGTTTTATGATGGATATAATAGCTTACTTATTATCCTATGTAGCAGTCAGACATACTGATTTTTGAGAAAATTACGACAGGAAAAGAAGAAAAAACAACATAATGAAAATGTTTTTAAGTAAGTTCGGCTATATTTCAAATTGATAAACGTCAAGACTGAAGTTTTAAAGCGTTCATTCCTGATACATCTTCAATAACAACAACAACAACACAAATACAAGATAATAACTTTATCAGTAATATAGCACGTTCATTGTATGTTTGGAAATGACATCGATATTTTAAGAGGTAGTATTCTTTTTCAATCTAGTCACGGTAATATTTATTCTAATAAATAATCTTACCCTTTTAATTTATTATTTTAGATATAGACAGTCCATTGAAACAATTGATAATGGATTATTTTTTATTTTGAAAGCAAATTAAAAAACACCTTAATAATAAATAAACGAAAAGTAGCAAAACAAAAATGTATAGATAGAAATGAATTGCTATTCCTGTCTCATTAAATACTAAAATGCGAACCCCATGAATTATGAAAAGCGGACAATATAGGTATCATCAAAATTCCAAAGAGATTATATCGTGCAATAAATGAAATTATGTTTCGGGACAGAACAAGTGCAATTGCAAAGTTTGAAAACTAAGTGTGGACCAAGATCAAAATTGCTTCTGTATGTTGATTCATATTCTTAGCCGGTGAAAACACTGTTATTGATTGATCATAATTGCCACCACTATAGAGGAACATATTTATTTGCTACCAGGACATCGAGATATATTTCTGTTTAGCCTTATTTGAGTCCAGTATCCTACATTGTCCGAACTTGTTACTTATAATCATCTGTTTGTGATGCTGAAGTTGTATAGTTGTTGTTCTTCGGTGGACTTTATTAAGTAACCGACGGGTTTCTTTATAAGACGCAAATATCTCATGCATGCATATGTGTATTGTCGCACCTAAAGGAACTTCCGCTCATTTTAATAATAAGATGATTTTGTTGCTTAGATACGAATGTTAACTATTTACATTATATTCGTTTTGAATATTTTCTACTCTCATGGTGTATCACATTTACAATACTTGCTAATGAATTATTATAAAAGTAATTTTATTTTTCTTCATCTCAAAGAGAGGAATGTAGGATGCAAACGTATCGGATATTTAGTTGTCTAATGTATGGAACATGTCACTTTCAATACGATATATTAGCATGGTGCATACCTAACATTAGCAAGATTTTCCACAATCATTACCAAGTTTTGCGTTATTGTTCTATGAATGACGGTGAAATTTAAAAAAAAAAGAAGAAAAACAACCCAACTATATAGATTATATATTTCAATATGATGCAACGTTCAAAAAAGTTTATCATACAGGTGTGTAAAAGTTTTATCTTGTAGCAGGTAAAACAGGAAATTTCTGGGTATTATCATTGCATCCGGTTTTATAAAATTAAAATTAGAAATTGTTCTTTCAATCTTGCTTCAAGCTTTACCAGATATTACTTTGAGTAGGGTTATAAACCAACAAATTATTTTCAACGTGCCATGTTTTGGCATTTTGGCAATAAGCTAAGATTCCAATGATAATTTCAAGATCTGATGATACAATTTTGAAATTTGAAATTTCTTGTACCTAAATGGTTTTCATGTTATTTGTTGCGTCTGTGCAGTATTAAAAAGTATGAACAAAAATATGTTTTTAATTCATCTTCTACTGTTTTTGTTCTATGTCCTTCTGGTTTCCTTGCCTGTGGTCCTGAATTTTGCTGTGGTTGCGTTCATTGAATATGTAAGGCTTGCCCTTCTCATATAAAGGCTGCGAGCCCTATAGTTTTAATAAACTTTTAACAACATATTATACAGAGGTCAAAACAAGTAGAAAGTATAATTCAAGTATTCGATCGTTTAAAAATCTGGAAATGGGATGACCCATCGGAAGCAATGACAAAAACACAATAACATAAAGAATTGCAGACTCGGATTGAGTCTGTTCATGAGAGATTACGGAAAAGTGCAAAATCCCCAACGCCCCCTTATACCTGTTAAGAGGTATCTAATTAATTATACTGATTACAGCATTGATATTGTCTTCATCGTGACGCCACTTGTTGACCAGTGAATGATATTACTGTCATCAATTTCTATAGTCAATTTGGCTAGTCTTTTTACAAATTGTATTAATTCTAATGTAAATATGCATAGAGAAAATATTTGCTCCTATAATTATTTCTAGCTAATTCATCACCCATTGTTTGCACTAGAAGGGAAGATGAAAAATATATCAATTTTTGATAATGAAAATGAAACTAATTTGGAAAGGATATTCTTCGTTTTTTGTTTATTCGATTATTGTGACACTAGATGACAAAGTGAGGGATGTTGCACTTATTCATTATCCCTCATATACAGACTCAATCAAACCGAGTCTGCAATTCTTGAGTTATTTTGTTGTTATTGATGCTTCCGAGGGATCACTTTGTTTCCAGAATTTTGTACTTCACAACAGCAGGTGTCAAGTGTCGTGTGGCAGCCGTAAAAAGTTGCCCCGTACTTCACTTCAGTGTTGTTATATTTTCTGGTCCTTCGGGATCATTGATGCCAACACTATAAAGTGTTGAGAATTGAGTACCGCTCAAGCCGGTGCTAGGGGGCGTGAGGGATGTTGCACTTATTCATTGTCCCTCATGTACAGACTCAATCAAACCGAGTCTGCAATTCTTCAGTTATTTTGTTGTGATTGATGCTTCAGAGGGATCACTTTGTTTCCAGAATTTTGTACTTCACAACAGCAGGTGTCAAGTGCCGTGTGGCAGCCGTAAAAAGTTGCCCCGCACTTCACTTCAGTGTTGTTATATTTTCTGGTCCTTCGGGATCATTGATGCCAACACTATAAAGTGTTGAGAATTGAGTACCGCTCAAGCCTGTGCTAGGGGGTGTGAGGGATGTTGCACTTATTCATTATCCCTCATGTACAGACTCAATCAAACCGAGTCTGCAATTCTTCAGTTATTTTGTTGTGATTGATGCTTCCGAGGGATCACTTTGTTTCCAGAATTTTGTACTTCACAACAGCAGGTGTCAAGTGTCGTGTGGCAGCCGTAAAAAGTTGCCCCGTACTTCACTTCAGTGTTGTTATATTTTCTGGTCCTTCGGGATCATTGATGCCAACACTATAAAGTGTTGAGAATTGAGTACCGCTCAAGCCGGTGTTAGGGGGCGTGAGGGATGTTGCACTTATTCATTGTCCCTCATGTACAGACTCAATCAAACCGAGTCTGCAATTCTTCAGTTATTTTGTTGTGATTGATGCTTCCGAGGGATCACTTTGTTTCCAGAATTTTGTACTTCACAACAGCAGGTGTCAAGTGCCGTGTGGCAGCCGTAAAAAGTTGCCCCGCACTTCACTTCAGTGTTGTTATATTTTCTGGTCCTTCGGGATCATTGATGCCAACACTATAAAGTGTTGAGAATTGAGTACCGCTCAAGCCGGTGCTAGGGGGTGTGAGGGATGTTGCACTTATTCATTATCCCTCATGTACAGACTCAATCAAACCGAGTCTGCAATTCTTCAGTTATTTTGTTGTGATTGATGCTTCCGAGGGATCACTTTGTTTCCAGAATTTTAAAGAGTTGAAGAATTGTATTGATTACCTTTATATGGAAATACAAATGTTGAACAGTGGTTGAAACAAATATGTTTCAAGATTATAATTATTAAACACACCGAGAGGTTCAACATAAGTGTACATGAAAGTAGACGGTTTGTAATATATCAACACACAATTTATATACTAGTGCACATAGTATCAGATAAAACACAGGAACATATTACTAACTTACTAAGTTATTGGAGAAAAATAACCATTATTGAACATATTTGAAGAGATTTTACACTAAATTGGTTATATTGGAACAGCGGAAATCCTCTGAAAATTGGATTATAAATTTATACATTGAAGTATGTCTAATGAAAATACTGTATTTAATAAGATAGGCGAGACAAATAACAATTTGGTTATTGTTATAATATATAATCCGACTATGGCAGAGGCATCATTAAAATCTGTGTTAAATAATCTATAAATGCGCTTATTATGTTAAGATTGGGGTAAGCATATAGAAAAATAAACGAAATAAGGGATAAATAAACGAAACAAAAGTGAAAGTATAAAAGAATAGTTCATTACATAGCAGCATTGTATGAAGTTGTAATACAGCAGCGAACAAAGTTTTGTTTCGGAAGATAAAGGATACTTCTTTATGAAAGAAGAATTGTACAAAGCTAGGTGAACGAGATAATGAGTATCGTTTGGATCTGGAACATGGCATGTTTCATGATGGATATAATATCTTACTTTATGTCCTGTTTTAGAGTGGGGCATTCTGACGATGGAGAAAATGAAGACAGGAAAAAGAGACAAAAACATGACCAAGATTATTTTAAGTAAGTCAAAGGGACTCCACTGAGGTTTTTTGACATGATGGGACGGAAAAGAAAATTCCAGATAAATTGTACCATTTGATGTAAGTTTAGACCACTAATCTTTGTGCAAAATTTCAGATCATTCGCGCGCTTCATTTTTCCAGAATAATTATTCAAATTGTAAAAAATGACCCAAAAAAATGACCCAAAATGAAAAGCGTTTAAAGTGCCCCAGCTCATTTATGTAAGAAATTCAAATGTTATGTATTTAGGCTTTTAAACCTCAGTGGAGTCCCTTTAAATTTTTTATAGTTATAGCAATTCACTTAATAAAATATGTTATGACTTCGAAACGTAAATATTTCTTATTGAACATTATTTTATGCTTTCAGAAAGAAATTGATATTTAATATTAAATTATTTATTGTAAATGATACAGCACCTTATATTGATGCAGACACCCTATTTTTCTGAGTGCGATTATTTAAGAATTTAGGATACATTACAATCAAGTCACAAAGTAATTGATTTACGGTAATAAAATTTTTAATAAATTGTTCACATTATAATGTATTATGTATGAGAAATGTCTGTAAACCAAAATAGACCGTTATGAATTTAACAGTGTTTATTATTATTTATTATTTTGTAAGCAATTTAAGAAACACCTCACATATCAAAAGTAGCAAAACAAAATTAGCTTTAGAAAGATATGTGTGTGTTAAACCTGTTTAAGTAAATACCAAAAATGCCAACTCCATGAATCCATTAGGTATCTAAGTATTCAGAGCACATGATTTACTGGAGACGTAGATATAAAAGTTTTCTAACTCTGCCAAGTAACTTATTAGCTAAAAATAATTTGACAGAAATGGATGTTAACACTTATACCTGATATAATATGTGTGCTTCAAGTATTTTTCTAAGTATATATCAACTTAAGAAGCTTAATAAAGCGAAACATTTATTGATAGACTGTGTTAGTTTGTAAATCTTTTTTTATCAGATCTAAGTATATGTACTCTAAAATAAGAATAAACTTTTTCTCAATTACACTTTACAGATTTATACGCATATGTTCATCCAAAGTTTATATACAGTCTGACAAACCAAGTTATCCGTACGTTGATTCATCGAGATAATCATCATAATTATTATAAAGAAAGATATAATAACATGTAACATTTCTATTTGAAAGACCCTGCTTTGATATAGGCTAGCGCTGGTAAAATTACGAGTAACGTCATTTTTTATATAATTTATAAGGCCTGGTTAACAAATGTACCAGTGAACATTATACATATTCCGAGGATTTGAAAAAAAATGTTTTAAACTTCTAACAAAATTTCAAACACGACATATTGGAATAATATAAACATTATTAAACAATCTTTATTTGGATCATCTTTGAATTTTTGTGTAATGAAATAGTATCATGGAGCTAATGTTTTCCTATCATTGAACTGTAATATTAGTCATTCCTAGAACAATACTTTTTTTTATAATTTTGTTGTCATTCGTTATTATTTTGTTATTGTTTTTACTCATTGTACTATCAGTAAAACCTGCGATTTATATTTTCTGTTACGTTTATGAAGAAAATGTACAAAAGTAAATTAAAATAACCGAATTAAAATCAATAAAATCTTAAGTTTCATATGTTCTTACTTTTATCTTTATGACCCATATGCATTTGATATACATGTTATATATTTTTCCAGGAGCTATGCCGGTATTTGTGTGCACGAGGAGATGTTAAGTGACACTGTGAGAACAAATGCATACAGGTATTTGGAAGTCTTTTTCATAGTTACTTGTATTGATATTAAAAGAAAATATGTTTACTTGCTTAATTTTACGTATTTGATTTCCTAACAACGACACATGAGTACTTTATCGTGTGCAAACATCAATTTTCAACATTTTTCTATTATAACTCAATGTTTGTCTCTAACATTTTGAGAACGGCGACTTCATTTTACGTGCAAATCTTTAGATATACGAAAATATGTTTGAATCCCTGAAATGAAAGTTATTTGTTGGAAGATTTAACATTGAACAAGATTACTTTATATGTGTACATTATATTGCAACGAACATGCAAATATTTACACCATATAGGACAATTTGCGGTTGTTGGTACACTATAAGGAGGTGAGGTTAATACTTCGAGAAATTACAAATTTGCTTGCATTGTTTATCCTGGCATCTACTTTGAGACAAAATTTAAAAATGCCTTTATTTTCATAAACATATACAGTAGAACTTCTATGAGTCGAACTTCGATTAGTCGATTTTCTCGATGTGTCGAAGAAAAATTAAAGTCCCGACTTTTCCCCCTATATATTCCTTATAAAAACCTATTTATGAGTCGAGATTTTATGTGTCGAATTTTTCGATGTGTCGAAGATTTTTCGTGGTCCGTATTAAGTAAATCTAGTGCAATTTACCACAAATAAGTCGAAGTTGTTCGATTATTTTGACACCGTCGATCTTTAGTAATTATTCACACCTTATCTGTCTGCGAAGACGATTTCCAATAAACTTGTGTGGCAGGTGTTAATTATACAGCTGTGTGTTCAAACAGCCTTTGTTTGCGATAAAATGTGTGATAAAATGCTTTAATCGTTACTATTTTAATTGCCGTAGTGGTATTTGAAAGTAAACAGTAAGAACTACTTTCATTTGATTACATCCTTGACCCGGTGTCGCGTGAGAATAACACGCGAAATTTATACTATAAGTTGGGTAAGTTATCGCCCTTTCGTATTGTTACGCCTTTTGTAACTATTGTATACGTCAGCGGGTAGTCCAAATAATAAAAAAACATTATTTAACATGCTATATTTATCATTGTAAAATGTGAATATCAGATTAATGAGGAAAAAACATGAAATAGGTTTCATTACAGACTAGTCACGGATTGAAATTTTGTCATGAAATTGAGAGCGATTCATGAGTCGAAGTCCCGATGTGTCGAAGTTTTTACGCAAGTCCCTTTAACTTCGACTTACCGAAGTTCTACTGTACAAACATCTTGACATGTATGAATGGATTGTTGAAAACCCCATTGATCGTGGGTCTGAATGACAAGTATACATTAGGAAACATGTGTGATTTTCATTGTCTTTACTTACCAAAGACTTTACCGATGAATATACAACAATCTGGCTATTATCAAAGCATTCGATTTTATAACATTATAAAGATGGCTTGTTTTTTTTAATTTGGCTTCAATCTTTACCATATATCACATGTAAGTACGATAACAAATCGACAAACTATTTTCAGCCTGCCATGTCTTGTCTAGGAGCCAAGATTTTAATGATAATTTTAAGATCTAATATTACATTTTTGAAACATGCTCACTCTTGTGACTTCAAATTTTATGTAAATTGTTTTCATGTTTTTCGTTGATTCGCCTTTATTTAGATTATGGTATTTAATACAAACACGTTTTAGGTTTTAACTACATAATACTATAGCCGATTATTTAGAGGTAAATTTTTTGCAAGTAAAAGTAACATGTTAGATAGAATTTGCATTAGAATAGTTGATGCTACTTAATAAGACTATGTAATTTTGATAATATGACATACTTGATGATTACGTATTAATTGGTCTGCATATAAAACCTCTGTACATATTGTATAGCGTTCTGTAAATGTCACAAATGAAAACGAAAACGTTAATAATTTCTGCAAAAACTTATTTCACATGCAAAACTAATTCTCCTAAATATACCGTGGTTTAGATACAAATTGGATGGTGATAGTATTAATGGATTATTAAAAAAAATGTATTATACTAGCTATAAAAGAATATTAGCAAGGAATACATAGCTGATTCCAATTGGTGCCGTAGAGGTTCTATAATCCACAAGTCTAACCTTTGTTTCTTTTACTTAATGTAACATATTTTGTATAATCTTTTTTTTATCTGCCCTTTCATCAAAAACCTCGCCAAAACTACAGGAACTCTATTAGTCTAGATTACAAGTGTCGGGAGTCTTTGATTGAAGTGATATTTTTTACACAATTAGTGAATGTAAACGAAAGTAATTAATCATGACTATCTGTACTATTTAACAATTTTATCAATTAGATAAAATTAGGAAATAGATGAAGTGATGAGATATGTGAGGATTTTGAAGAAAAAAACTGCTAAGTAATTAGAAATGATGAAACAACATGCGATTTTTAAAATTTGGTTTACTTAATATCCATAGTTCATTCTATTTAAACGACTGCGCAGGTAATGTAAGGTGAATGCAAATTAGTTAACAATTTAAGTATATATTAGCGTTTGATATGTCAAATCTGAGGAATAAAGAACCCAAAAGAAGACGAAGGGGCTCAATTGACCTGGCCCCTCAAGACACACGCGGTGTGTTAACAATTCTATGTGCGAAAATTACTGCGTAAATTACATTTATTGGTAATGTCAATAAAACATTTGCAGTTGTGCGTGTCCGCTAAATTTCATTTGAGTACTGCACTAGACTGTAATTTTGAAATATTTAAAAATAAATGGCACTTGTGATTTTGATCTTAGCGGTAATGCCTTCGGCTAGACCTTAATTTTTACGACAAGGTACGTTGCTTTGGAAAATCGATCGGAAGTTGTATTTCACGACATTACTTGATGATTATTTGAATATTTGTTTGTGACGAATATACATTTTGTTGTGTGTATCTTCAGTAGTGAAAAATGCTCTTTTTGATACTTATATTCTTCTTAATCGAAGTTATTGCTTTGGTAAATTTGATTAACTATTTTTCCTTATACAGATATGCAATATTGAAGAACTACGAGAAAATTCGAGGGAAGATTGTTGCAGATATTGGTGCTGGAACCGGTATTTTGTCAGTATTCTGTGTTCAAGCTGGTGCTAAAAAAGGTATTGAAAACAGAAAATATTAAAACTCCCACCATGCAAAGGAAGAAAACTTAAAAATAAATACCATTACCGTTTTCGACTACAACTCTTATTACTATGTTAATGATTTAATATATCAAAAGAAAAAGATATAGAAAAAGAACGTATAACAATCATGATACGTCAAAAAATACTGATCGTTTTAAAGGAAATTTCGTATTAATTCATAAATATACAAGAATGCGTTTTCATATTAAAGGTGCAGGACTATTACTAAAACTCTGCTGTCACATCTGATGCTTTGTTATCATTTTAATTTTTCAATATATGCAATAGAGGCCAGTGATATGGCTAAGCAAACTCAGGCAAATGTAGACGAAAAAAAATGTCAGACAGAATTGAGGTAGTTCACAAAACTGTTGAGGTAGTATATTTCTGTTAATATTGTTGTATTTATCACTCAACGAACGCCTACTTTTGTGTTTGACAGAATTATAAGACACATTTTACATGAAATTAATTTTAAGTGCTTTTTGCCCTTTTTTGGAGGGAAAATATTGTTCTGAAACAATATTTTATGATTCCTTGAAATAATAAGTAGGCGACATTTAAAATTGATGGGGGAAACATTGTTTATAAAACTTTTCTCGCTATTTCACAAATTAGCCGTGTTTTTATTATTTCGAGAAATATCTCCCGTTTAGAAATTTATTAATAAGAAACAATTGCACGGGCGCGGTAGAGCTGTCTTTTTACAAGTATATTGTTATCATAGGATCTTGCTGAAGGTAACTGTTGGATATAATTTCAGGTGATAAGTAAAACAGAGAATGCAAATAAAAGACAAACAATACTTGACATAAACTGTGTTATATTATTTGTTTTTGCCAGTTATGTTTTGCAAATGTTTTCACATACGTGTCTTTTCACTTTCAGAAAGTGATAAATCCAGAGAAACTAGATGTTCTAGTTAGTGAATGGATGGTGTGTATGATTATTATTATATACTTAAATCTAATAAAATAGAGATAACATTGTAATAGAAAATATTCAGGTTCGGTTTTCTTTTGAGCCTGCTCATGGACGATAGTAGTGAGTGTATGCTACCCCTAGCACCGGCTTAAACAGTATTCAGTTAAACAGGAATGTCGTTAAAATTGAATTTAAAAGCGTCCTAAGATGTGTTTAGATGTTTGCTAATTATTTTTGTTCGATTGTATTGGAAGTTATAAGCTTAATAAAGCACTCTCAAATCCGTTCCTGGAACCAACAAGTACTAAGCAATGAAAGTAAAGTTTAATGCTCACGGAATCAACGGCTTGCTCATGACGGGGTTTGAACACACGCGACCAGAAGTCCTAAGATTACTAGAACGATAAGTTAACCTTTCGGCCTCACCACCACTCATACGGCGGTTATCATGGAATCTTCCATGTGATACGTTCATGCCATTCCATGAACCACAAAAAATGTATTCTTAACTTGACCGTTATTTTTTTTTTTCCAAAAGTTTTGATCGGTAGGTATAAAAATTTATTGTTTTGGGAAATTTTTTTAAAGTAAAACTGTTTTTTGGGAAAGTAAAAACTTTAAAAATTAATAAACTATCAAGTTCGATTCGTTTGTTAGCTTTTTATTTTGAAGAATTAAATTATCACACTGTTAAATTGAATGTGGTATTTCATATCTTTTGGAATATAGGGTGGGTTATGCTTCCCTCATTGGGTAGTTTAAATTCCCATTTACGCACCGACTATGATAAAAGGTAAAAATTCATAAGTTACATGTGTCCCTTTAATTTGTAAAATGTTATTTAAATTGCATTCCTTTAGAAGAAAAAAAAACAATGTTTGAAATTAACGAAAAGAAAAACCAAAATACGAAATTAAAAAAGATAAATTAAATAGGTTTTAAATTTTGGGAAAAATATCTTCTAACCAAAGGCAATTTATTTAATTTTCAATTATGTGATTTGTTTTATAGAAACTGTAAATGTTTTCTAGCAGTATTAAATATGAGATTTTTTTTATCTTAATTTTTTGGTTGATTTTTGGTCAAGTTCGCTCTGTTAAAAAAGTTTTCGATGGGAAAGTATGAAACTTGCCCCAAAAAGTATATAAAGTAACTTGCAATGATCTAATTTTAATCAAAATAAAAAGTTTTTCCGATTTACAAAATTAAAAACAATATGCCCGCAAATTTTTAATAAACAAAATATCTTGCAATGATTATTTTTACCAAAAAATAATTACCGATTTTCAAAATTAAAATTTCCCCGAAATTTACGTAAAACTTGAATGATCTAAATTAATGCAAATAAATAAGTTAGTTTTTTTCAAAATTATGAAACAACCCGAAATGTTAAAATTTTACTTTTGTTAAAAAAATGTCTAACTTAGTTCAAAAAGTTGAAACAATTGCCCAAAATTAAAAATTTTAAGTTGTTAATGAATATCAAATAATGCAAATAAAAGTTATGATTTTCAAAATGTAGAACAAAAATGCCCCCCAAATTATACAAATTGAAATTACATGTAACTCTAAAACGCGTGTATTTATATACATTATAAAATGTCCTTATGACAGGTTGTCATTATATATACTATTCTCAAATGTCCAGTGAACAGTTCGACTTTGGTATTTCACTTGTACACTTGTGTATTTGTATTTGTATATTAAAAGTATGTAACATCCGTGAGTTCTTTCTCCGTTATGCGACAAAATGTCCAGGCTCATGCTGTACAAGTCTGTCGACTGAATCTAAATACAGCAACTAAAGATTACCTTCAGAATGTAAAGGTATGTACGGTTCTTTTTATTTCAAACATCTTATGAAAAAACAACAACACGGGAATATGTCTCAAAATCTATACATGTAAAATATATGTTTTACCGTTAGTAATTGTGAGACTGTGTGATGAGTTTCTATCAATTTCATGTGTTTTGAGATCAATATATGCGAATTACCATGAGAATAATAAACATAAGAAAGTACATGTTCATGATATAAATGCATTGTACAACATATAAAAACAACACATATAATTATTTGTAATATATATTTTTCTTATTTTGAAAGAAAGAGGAATGTATACTTATATTACTTTACAGAAAGAGTTTACATTCCATTGTTTTGGTCAATCTACCATACATGGTTTTACTACATGGTTTGATGTTGGATTTCCTGAAAGTATAACGCTTACCACGTCGCCTTATGCTGAGTATGCATTTTGAAAACAATACAAATGAAATGTATTCATGTATTCTTGAATCTGTAGTTCTAATTAGATTAATGTTTTACTTCTAACATTTTACATACTTATCGTCTGCTGTTCAGAATGGACAGATGTTTCCAAGTAATGGTGTAGATTGTAAACTTTGAGAATAACTGTTTTTATAAAGCGTCAATCGCTAATGTTAATAGGACTCGAGCCTAACCTTTTTGGTATTTTACCTGTTGCTTCTGTGTATATTACATCTATATACATATATTAGCAAGTAAATAGGATTAAATCAAAACTGTTTGTTTCATTAGATTGAATTGTGTTTGCAAGAATCATTATTAAAAGAGTATTGGTTCATTGTTTTTGTTAAGACTTTGTATATTCATATAATGTCATAGTAGCAAATGTACAAATAATTTGCAATTCCAGAGAGACTCATTGGTCACAGACACTTTTTTAGATAGATGAACCATGTGTTGTGACACTATACACTGTGATAAAAGGAAGCATTTCTATCAGACCTTATACAGATGCACCCAGGTGAGTGACAAACCTTCATATAAACTTCACTTTTTCATGAAAGAGGAATATAGGAATCTTAGAAAGTTGCTTTTTCAAGACAACTTTCTTTTGAATAAGGAGCTTAAAGGGGATATATTTGATAATTTTAAAACAATGTAAAAATGAGACGGATGAGTGAAACCACTAACTATCCAAAAATCGTGATTTTCCTTTTTTTTTGAATTTTAGAACCTTAATAAATTAACTATATTGCTAATACAGTTCCATCTTGCTTGCCAGTAATAGTCATGAAACACAAAAGATGAGTGATCAGGAAATAGTTCAATATAACTGAAACTGGCATTTTTGTTTCAGATTTCTTGACATCAGCGTTACATACACGTATAAAATTGGAGAAGGCACAACACATCGTCAAACATACTTAATGAACGACTGTATCACGTGACATCAACAGAACTGTGACTAAAGTACATATGTGATATTAAACAGGGATATAACTTAGCACTTTCGTACCTCAGGAATATATTTCTTACAGAAAGGAGCTTAAATAGCATGGAAATAGTGTGACAGGAAGTTCATCATGAATGAAATGTTCACCATGTTTAAAAACATGAAAATATAAAAAGTTAAAACAAATCAATATCAAATATATATCTTATTTGTAACTTTATATACTAGTATATCATGAATGAAATGTTTGTCATGTTACTTTATAGAATACGGAATAATAAAAACAGTTACAACAAATCGATATCAAATTTATTTCTTATTTATTATTTGTTACTTTCTATCAGTATTCAAGTATACCATGTGTCATATTCCAAACAATAATAAATGATGGTAACAATAATATGTAATGCAAATAAAAAAAGAAATCACTTTTATATGCATGATTGACAGATTATTACCGTATTGTTATAAGTTATATATAAAACAATTCATAAAGCTTTAAACAAATGTATTGCTCTGATACAATTAAGAGTCGTTTTTATAAGCGGCATGCACGCAACCCATACACTGGTACAAATGTAATACAAAATCAAAGTTTCAAATCCTCTTAGATCTCGAAGGTCATACTTTCGCATTGTATAATGGCCAGCGATTGGCTGAAAAGAAAAAGCAATGTAAAAAACCGTATGATTCAATTGAACATAGGGTGATTGGATAAAAATGTGGTATTTATTTTTAAGTATGACAACTTATTTAGAAAGTATCAAGATACAATTTTTTTTTGAAGAAAGTCAAAGAGTCTCTATGATAATTTTTATCTTGGTTATTTGCATTTATAAAGTGTGTCCTGTGATCAGCAGAGAATTTCAATAAAATGGTGGGGGGGGGGAATCCTCTTTGAAGTCATTTTGATACAAATTCCTTAAGGCAATCTCAGAGGCACTGTTTGGTTATGCCAATAAAATATAAAAAACGTAATATACTTAACATATAGAGGATATTTGTTTGTTTTGAATGTAAGATTGAAATATAATTTCACTGAGTGAAAACCAGATGCAATATTTTCACGAGTGGCGTAGCCACGAGTTAAAATATAATAGCTGGTGTTCACGAATGAAATATATTTCAATCTTATATGTAAAACAAATAAATTTTCTTTTTATTTCATGCTTTCTAAGTGATTTTAAGTATTTTTTTACTGATTTTGCCGCGTAACGTCGCGCATTCTCCTTTTTGACGTCATCACATCATGACGTCACATCATTAATTTTGAAATATAGTTCTGTTAAATTTCTTTAACTTTGTTACATTTTAAACATGATGTATGGTGACATCGACATTCTCTTCCTAAAGAAGCAAAATTTACGCATGACGGCATTTATTTTTGCCTGTTATTCCATTTAGTTATGATTTTCTTTTCATCCGCATTCAGATATAGTTCGGCTATAGTGAAAATCATATTTTATAAATTTCACTAGTGGTTTATCAGAATATAATCATCTGATATATTACAATAAAACACTGGAAAGCATAAAATAAATAATAGTAGTGACGCTTACCATGAAATGCTTTACTTTTATTTCTCAAAAGCTTTTTTTGGTGTACTTTTCTTGATTCCAAAAAAATTATTTATTGGCCAATTCCCTGAACGTCTCTTTTTCTTCTGTTGCTTTTTGCCAATAAGTACAGTAATAGTGTTTTAGTATTTAGTATGGAAGTCAAAATTCTACTTTCTTTATATTTTGCTACTTTTATGACAAATCATTTCACATTTAGCTCTACTTTCTTCAGGTAATAACCATCTCACATGCTCTAACATCATTATTAAAACGCTATAAAGTTCGTGTTTGCGTTTTTAAAGAAAATAAAAAAAGTTTTCGTTTCTGATGCATAGTGTGCAACATTTTTTTAAATTAAAAAAATCCTCTTCTTTATTATGGCTTTATTATGTTTGGAAAAGTTCAGCCGGAAACTGTAAATGTGCCCTCATCAAAAGTTATCAATAAATCTAGAGCAAAATTAGTGCTATAAACATTTAATATCTGGATTTCTAGGGGGTTTATAATTTATATTCCATGCAATTTGATATATGTCATGTAACCAAATTTGTTTCAGAAAATAAGATAGTAAATTCGTCGAAATACATCAAGAGTTGAATCATCTTGTTTAGGTAAATGAGTTTGAATCTATATTCTACGAATTTATTCTAATTATTTTCAAAAGATGTATTTGAAGTTCAATATGTACAGATATATAGATTTCGTGAGCTTAAAACAGTAATTTCACAGCACTTTTAGTTTGATAGTATCTTAATTTGTATACTCCGGTTGCGTCATAGAGTTGTGATTATAGAATGTATAAGTAAACCCGACCGCATAGCTCAATAGAAAATCATCAGGGTATTGTAATCCTGGAAGGCCGCAGGCCAGTAAAATCATCACCTCACCCTAAATAGAGTTGTTGGACTTTCTTAAAATATATGGTTCGGGACCATTTCTCTATGGGTTTTTTTGCCATTTTGCCAATGCGGCGTGAAGGAATGTGGCGTGCAGGAAGACCTCAGGTGCCCTTCCGTGCATTATTTCAGGCACGAACGGGCACCTGAATAAAACCATCGACGTTCCGTAAGCTAGCTGGATAACTTCCTCACACGAAAAAAATCCAAAGTCTATGTCGGGATTCGAACCCTCAGCGGTGAGGGGCGTGGAATATCACAAATTCACAGAATAATTATTTGTCTTCACATTTTTAATTATATTCGTTAAATGTGTTTTAAATACTTATCTTGAAAATTATATATTTCATAAACAAAACAAAGTTCATTGACCCCTATAATATTTCATTTTATGATGCACAGTTATAGCATCGCCAACTTTCTTTATAATAACAATGAAATCATATCAATTACATGAACCATACAAACTGATTTATGTTAATGTCTGTTTTTCACTGTAAAACTGGATTGTTATAAAACTTAATTCGTGTTTTGAAGACGTTTACTGTTGTTTTTAGTGTTTTTTTAAACAGTTAAAGAAGCAAAATTTTAACTTTCTCTTTAAGAACAAATGTTAGGGCCGCTGATTCGATCACCGGACGAGCATCTCTGTAAGTGGTTCTACTTAAGTGCCCGTTCGTGCCTAAGATCTTCATTTTTTTTGATTATTTTAATAATATGACACAAGATGAAAAGTTGTTGATGTCGTTATCGTAGATGTGTTACTTTGGTTGCGAGTTGAATTGAATAATTGCTTCGTAAAGTTACATTTAATTATAACAGTTTAACCGGTATTTTACGAGTTACTGGAGGAGAAATTTTTACATATACATGTATCTCACATGCATTTAAAAAACATCTGATACAAAAAATTACACCATCATATCTAGTACCAAAATTCGTTTTTATTTACTTTAAAGGCTCGAAATTGTCGGATGTGTAGAATATGCATTTTACACGGTAAAGATGTATTTCCTTTGTAATTTTAGATGTATCTTCATATATATTGTTTTATGAACATGTTGATAACTAGCAAATAAATATCCTACTGAAATCACAAATGCAGTGTTTCATAACAATATACAAGCTCTTGATCAGTAATAAGTTATTTTCAGTACTTATATACAAAAAGTTTTCTCAGAGTTAAAAACAGGTACAAATAGATACATGCTCAGATTATAATCTTCTGTTTAGGTGTCTTAAATAGGTCCTATGGGCCCGGTGTTTATCTTTGTATGTTTTTGTGTATGTATATACACGCAACACATGTCACTATAATACAGACTTTACTTACTTACTCCTTTAATTGACTTCACTGTATGAAAATTACTTTTTGATGGTTTTCTATGAAAGAAGACATGCAATTAATTGAAGCACATTAAATGTCTGTTGTAATTTATTCGAAGATTTCTTCTAATTGGCTTGTCTGACCGAATAAAGTTTACTCTGAATGCAAGAATAACTTGCTTTATTAGTAATGATATATTAACATATGTTTATTCTTTATATCAACTAATAAAAAACTAGTGAATATATTACTCTTTATAAGAAACAGATTATCGTTTCCAATAAGAATGTTATTGTCAGAGAGAGTTATTCTGATGTTAATGTTAAATTAAGGTGACAACAGACACTTTCCGTGGTACTCACATAAATGTCATTTAAACCAACTTATTTTAGTGATAATTGTTATTTATTTAATCTTTGTGCATTAAATGTCGTTGATCATCATAAAAAATAACATATTTGAAAAAAAATGCCTTTGTAAATGATTGATTTTTAATAAAAATCCTAAAATTTTAAATCGTCATATCAAAGTCATTTTTTATTTTTTTGTCATCAAACTTTTGGAAAATAAACATACTTATAATATCTGGGGAACCGTGTCTCAAATTTTTTCTATCTTTTCTCAAAAAAATATTACGTAACGTCAAACATTTTATGCGACTTTTTTCACCATACATATTACGTAATTAAAGAAAATTAAGCCGCTGATTGAGCAAACAAAAATCCCTGACACGGTTCCCTCCGTAAATGAATTCCCTTTTATGTGCTTTAAACCGCATGTTAATTGCTTGATTATTAAAAAAGTTATGCCGATTCAAAGTTAGTCCGATCCGCATCAAACGAAGTGTCATAAATCGGCTGTTCTCTCTCGGACCCCTACGTTTCACGCTAAATAATTGCATAATACACAAATATCGCACCAGAGAGGGTCACAAGTTGCGCTAACATACTCTAACAACATTTTATGACACAGTGACATCTGACCAATTAAAAAGTTGCTGATTACTATCAGTTTATAACAGAAATTTCTTCACATCTTAACGTGATTTACCGTTAGTCTGGTATCGGTTGCACATGTCACGTGACTTTCGGTAAAATTTGAGGCACTCCGTGGGAGGAATGGAACGTATTTGCGCACCGCTAGCGGGGTATTTAATTGTTTCACTTTTGAAGTTTATTATTATTATTATCAGCATTTCAGCATTATTATTATATTATATCAGTGTCACTCTATGTATTCGTTTATGAAATTCCGTTGACATATAAATTTAAATAACAAAAAACTGAGCTTCTGACGGTCTTTTAAAGTCCATGGTAGATGTACAAATAAGAACGGGATATTATATATTTTTTCCTCCAAATTGATATAAATCTTAGACAACCTAAAATTGTTTAGAAATTTGTCTGGGACACCTTACCACAAGTCATATAGGCGTTCACATTTAAAATGTTGTCTGTTTTTGTTGACATTGTTAGAAAATGAGGTTGAATGTTAAGCAAGCCCTTGAATCCGTACAAAG